ACGCATTTGGGAAAGACGCGTTTTAACATAGCGAAATGGTGCAAATTCGATGCACGTAGACGCGTCTGCGTGCGTCGAACATGCGTTTTCAGACGCGTCTACCACTAAAAAATGTTTATATGGGGTACTCTTATCGTATGTAATATATTGTGCTTAAATGTCATGTCTCATACACTGACTTAATAGTTGCAATAACAATAGGCTAAAATTTGCAATATTACCTATTCAGACTCATTGGTTTTTGAAAAGCCCACTGTGTGCTTTCCTTTTACGCGTGGATGCCACATACATGACTCAGTTCTTTGTTGCTAGTGTTTTGTTTTAAATCTATTTCGTGGCTTCCGAATCTGATGGATCAAAAAATCTTAGAAAAAGGTATTGTAGACATTTTGAAAACATTTGTCTCTTTGTTCTGAAAATGATTAAGATAATTACTATGATCATACGATCAAGTGTCAAATAAAAACAAAGATAGTTCCGGGTGATTGAAGCCTCTTGTCTCTTATTAGGTGAATTTGACAGTTCTTCGCAATAAATATATTATATGACACGTGTCATCTTTCGGTACGATAATGTTTAATACAATGTCATTCAAGGTCGCAAAACAACAATATTCATATAGGACGAGTAGAAATTTCGTGAATAGAACGATAGCTATTCAAATAGTAAAATAACATCATTTTACATATGATAGGATGAAATATACTATAACAACGACTGAAATCGTGTGCTTTAGCCTACATCATATATTAATTTGATTTTTTATGCTATATTTCTTGCTTTACCATTGTTCTTCATCTAGAAAGAAAAAAGAAGAATTTATTATGATGAAAAAATATAGGCATACGACATATATCTATATAGTTATATGTTCGCATCGCTTTTTTTTGAGAAAAAAATGTTTGCTGTAAAGAAAGAAAATGAAAAATTTGTTTTTGTACTCTGCTCCCTATAGGTTTTGTAAATAAAAAAACGAGGTAAGATAGCAAGCTGCTGTCTTTTCTTCTTGTAAAAGAAAAAAAAACTTTTCATATTATTATATTGTGTCTTTATATAAGAAAAAGAGAGAAAGAAAAAAAAGAAAAGTTTCTATACGTCTCAAAAGCACGATGACATGGTCGACTATTTTTTTTTTCTGAAAGAAAAAAAAACAGAGATTATATTTGCGATGTATATTTTTTATCATCATAGATAGAGAGAATTGTGAATATATATAAGAACGTAACAGCAGCAGTATATCGAGTATTTTTGGTGTATATGTGTGTGTAGACATACAAGTACTTGGGAAAATCCGAATGATATATTATATAAATTCTAAGTTAAAACAGTAATTAACGTCGCTCAAATTTTTATTATAATTCACTTTATATTTATTTAAACAAATAATCAACATGCCTTGTTTACAAGTCGAAACGAGTCAAACGTAAGAAATAAATTTTTTTATTTTTTTTTATTGGGTGAATATTAAATTACTAACAAAAGAATAATATTATTAGATTTACGACAAATTTTTTTATAGAGAATACTTTTGGTTTTGAGTATAATGAAGTCTGCCACACACTTCATGGACAGAATATTAAAGTACACTTTCGAAGATAGAATCGTGTACTCCTCTTCCTTAATATAAGAAAAGTTTAAGTTAGAGAGTGAGAATTCGATCCCTGACATTGAATAACTTTGAAATAATAAATATACACATTTTATTCTATTTTTTAGAATGAATCATTTCTGTTATCATCTCGCTCCAGATCCCAAGAAGTGCTCCTGATGTGGCTCACGTTACTGCTGAAAGATTTACATCGAGCGTAGAAAGCGCAGAGGGCAGTAGCGTGGGCAATCTTATCATCCTCGCGCCACAACAGATTCAATCAAATGTACAGGTAATTAAAATAACAAATATTAAGCGCATAGTTTAGAGAGTGTGAAAGAGAGTATAGTTTTGTTCATACTTTTAATACGACTTTAAAATTCATATTCAACAGGCATTAGATTTTATAAGCCGCTATAGTTACATTCAGGAAAGATCAGTTATATAGTTTAATTTCACTTATTTTACTAACTATCTTCATTACTTCCATCATTTGTGTGAGAAATTGAACGAGCTATATAAGAGAGAAGGATCACAACAGAAGAAACATTTTATTTTTTAAGTGTGTAAACACCAGTCAAGTGGTTGAGGAAGTCCAAAGTAATGGCAAAAAACACCTGGAGTGCATAACATACATAGTTTTTTACTGCTTCGATTCACTCTTATTTATCTAAGATTTCTTATTGATTTCATTTGTAAACTTTTGGCGCATCTTATTTTACAAATGCTAATTATCACTTATCAAAAACTTTTCATATGTCAAATTCATTCAATCATTCGGTAACTTACTGGTGGTACTTAACTTCCTCGATAGATATGTAGTGTAGGTATTCCCGTCATGTGAATTAGTAGCAGCTACAACTTATGTTCTACTTCATTCAATCGAAGAACATTGTAGTCTACCTTTATAGACTGATCCACTACTATTTCTATGATGCGCTTGATGTTCTCGTAGAAAGACAGACTTCATACAAGATGCAATCGATTGCATTCTTTTTCATTGAAACTCACAGTCAATTAAGTGTCTGTGTGACTGGTTTCACAAGTAACGCTGCATAAGAACAACCATCCGATCGATAAACTAAATTAATCATAAAATTATTATTTTGATTTTATATTACAGAAATGTTGTAACAAAACTCCAGAAAGTAATGACGTTAAAGAAAATCTTTTAAAAACATTCAAAGAACAAAATAATATGGACTGGGCAACAACGTTTCGTAGTGATGGATTATATATAGAAATTCCGTTACATTTAGCCGAGGGCTCGAAAGAAAAGTAGGTCAATACTGTGGAACTATATAGATAGAAAGTCTTTATTTTCATCTTATTTATTTAGATTTATAAATACACTGGAATTTGCTGATACCACACTTGAATGTAAACATGTGTTTATATTTTTCCGAAAAAACCGTAGTGATCGAGGTAACATTTCTGTTGTCTCAAAAAATTTATCATTTTACCCAATTTTTGTCGTATTTTTTAGCTTCATTAGTTCGAACGTTTATGTTTCTGGGATTTCATATACTTTCACCGAAGACTTGTTTGATACCTATTCCATCCGATGATTATTTATTTATGGTTTATACAAATGATTGATCATGAACAAACGTCATTTAACGGAAAGCTATCTGTACTACTTTTTTGTACAATTGAATGAAACTTTAGGGGTTGACTTGCATGTTTTGGGAGGGGGCTTTTTTCTTTTTTCTAAATTCTAGAGGTTTGAAATGTCAACGCTCTTGCTCATCTGCATTTTAATTATTGTCTCGATGTATATCTTTCTGTTTGTACGTGTTTCTGCTTTTTATATTTTCGTTTTTTTCTAACCGAGCACTAATAAGAACAAATACACCATTAACCATTAACCATTAATTATCATATCCTTTTTTCACCTTTATTTCATACTAATACATTATCATGCATTATCTTTATTTGTATTCATGAACTTTCTGTCCTTTTATTGAATGTAAGTATGTGTTCTTTATTATTTTTCGTATCGGCATAGCCGAATTCTTATTATACTCGAAAGAGTGCTGGATAAGAACAAAAATGGGTAATAAAAGTGATTATGAGCCTTGTTCATTTATTTCATCTCGTGTGTGCATGTGATTTTAGAGTTATGGTTAAAGAGTGTATTATGAACAAAGTTGCCTGATTTCTTTTTTCTTTATGTTTTTTTTTTTTTATATATCTTTCCAATGGATGTACAAATAATTTTAAAACTGTTTTTATGGATATTAACACCATAATAAAAAGAGAAGTGCGTGCAACCAATAAATTAGCAAAAAAAAATAAATATATATATCAGATATTTTCCCATAAAGTTACAGAGAAAAAATTTGAATATTCTACTTTTTGTTGAAGTTTATATAGTATAAAATCTCCTATGAAAAGTTTTTCGACATTATCTCATTAGAAAGTTTCGATTAATGAATGAGGTATGAATACTAATTTCAGTAACAATATTTGATCACTGACGTATGAGATTATGTAAAAAATGAATATGGTAAAAGTCTTCAGAAAACCATTACTATACTGCTAACGCATTCGTCTTGATTGAGTTATTTATATAGAAAGGATAATAAGAGTATAATAAGATTTAAACAGACTTTTTTAACTTTCTCTTATAGAGGTGCTTTGGTTTATGTTGTATATTTTATATTCAAATGACTATGAATAAATGATTTATATTCAAATATCTATTTTTTTACAGGAAAATATACAATAGCAATTGAAAATAGTTCTCATTTTATTTTTTTTTTCATTTTTTAAAATAAAAAAATAAAAATAAATTCATCTTGTGAACTTTTATTCATTGATAATATTTTTGAAAAAATATATACAACGTATGAATGGATAGATCCATTCTGTTTTCTTGTCGAGTGTTTTATTCTTATTATTCGACAATAGAATAATAATAATATAGAACGACGGAAAAACAAGAAAAAACAAAAGTTGAGTGAAGAAACGCGACAAATGTCTATAACATTATTAAAACTATTTTTTGATGAGAAAAAAAAAAGTCAATATATGCATATTAAAGCTACTTTTTTATTGTTAAAAATAATGTATATAATTGAAAGAATAGAGTCTAAAAAACCAAAAATAGTAGCTTATAGCTGTATACGAACAATTGATGAAGAGTCTCTTGTTATTCTCCAGGGTTCAAAGCTATTGATTTTACCAGTTAGAATAGAATGAATGTTACATGTAATTGGATATAAAATGCACACGTTTGATAACGACGAAATAAATGAAAAGGTTATTCTATACTTATCCTAAACGGAAGTACCGGGGACCTCTACCTCCCTCCCTATTCATTTTTTTTCTTCTAATGGCTATTTTGTGTTGTTGGCGGTGTGAGAATATGAAATCGCTGAACTAGACTTTGGACATTTGTACTTTTTTTGTGCGACAAAGTAATGATCTCCCTCACTCAATGTTTTGTAATAGTAAAATTAAGTAAGGGCGGACCATTATCTTGTCGAATAAAAAAACAAGTACAAATGTTCAGGGTCTAATTCAGTGATTTCACATTTTCACACCACCAACAACACAAAATAGCCATTAGAAGAAGAAAAATTAACGGGGAGAGTATATCCTAAGGAAAATGAGCGAACTCCTTTGCACATTTCAACAGTTTGAGTAAGATTCATCACTATAGCGAAGTATATGTGACTGATTTTCAGCATTTTAATTTGTACAAATCGTCGCTAATCTTATCAGATAGTCAGTCATTCAGTGGACGCTAGACAAACAAATCCTCTTGAATACTATAATAATAAATAATTTATGTAACATTCTGTACGAAGAGCAACTTGAAAATGACCGTACCAATAGGTCGAAATATCAAATTGTAATTTTAATCATTGAATTTTAGTTTTAAAATTTTTTATTAAAACTTACATTAAAATTCTTAACATAATAGCTGCAATTATTCTTAAATTCTTATTGTTTACTTACGAGTTCAAGTTTTCGATAGCGTGATAGAAAAATTGAAAATATCGTTCGATAAAATCAGATAATCCTAGATCCTGTAATGTCTGACATCGTGTAGCATACGTTGTAATAGAAGAATTCTATTGTTTATTCTTTGTAAAATGTAGACATTGCTCTCTATTATAACGATTTAGAATAGTTGATGCTCTATAACGCCATGTTCACATACGCACATTTCATCCGAATTCAATTTTTTGACAAGTTCGACTAGTATGCAAAAAATGTATTTCAAAAAAATGAAACATATCATTCAAATATGTAAGAACATCAGATTGAAATGAAATGTGTCTATGAATATGCAAAATTAAAGAAGAAAAAAAAATAATAACTGCTCATATTACTTTGAAAGTTTCTGAAAACATCTATTTATTGATAAATCATAAATAAACTTGAACTTTTCATTGTGAATCATCGTACAATGCGGAATTTACGCACATAAAATAAATAAATAAAAGGCGTACGTAAACAGACATACAAACAAATACATAGCAAACATAACAACATCAAAAAGAAAAAAGAAAATTCAAAATGTAAATAAAACACAGTGGGAATGAAGATGAAGAAAAATAGAGCAAGAATTCAAATAAGGTATTAAGGATGTGGATTTGAATAATCTGAATATCAAAACAGTTTACCAAATAAATATTAGTCCACTAACATAGTTTTGAGATATTGTATATTAATATAAATCCCACAAAATAAAAAGGTTTCTGTGAAATAAGCAATAGAATAATGTGTGAATAGTAGACGTTTAAGGAAACAATATTTAAGCTCAGCAAAGTACAAATATTGAGAAAAAAAATTGGAAGGTGCAATTCTTCTCACATTAAACAAAAATAAATAAATAAATAAAACATAAGTGTTCTGTAAGTAGTACGCTTGTTTAATATTAAAAGGTTTCGATACTTGATAAAAAATTTATAATGAACAAAAATAGCATTTTAAAATATTTTGCTCATATACATTGTCCGTTTTTAGTCTTACCGTATGATTTTCGATAAGGATACACAATTTGGTCATCTTAAATTCTGGTGAAAGGTTGAAAACTGTTCGTAAATGAGATTTTAAAAATATATATCGAATAGAGAAACAGTCGTGGACAAATTAAATTGTCGATTTAATCGTAATACATACATACATGCATAAAATGAATAAAGAAAAGTAACACATACGTCTTCTTTTTTTTGGTTATTAGCCAAATTTTTCGCTTTTTCCAATAGGGAGAACAAATAACTCTAAGTACACTTTAAAAAAAAAATACTTTTAAGGAAAGAAGTTTGCACAAATTTCTATTCGAAATTAATAAAAAATAAATGATATTTCATTCTTTTTCTTCAAACTTGACACCGTATGATGAGTAAATATGACATTATTAACGAAAATCATGGCAAGAAATATATTACGAAAGATAAATATAATTCTCATTTTTTGTGTTTCGATAAAAAGATAGAATAAAAATATGTTAAATTACTGTCGTATACACATAAAAAGAACACATAAAATAAATACATGTACATAAATATATATAGAATAACGAGGTTTGACATTGCCTTTATCTGCATTAAGCGCAAACAGATAACACATGGATGACGAATGGATGATAACTATCGTAACGCCTATAAATAGAATAAATAAATAATATCATCTTGAAAACATGTTGTTATAATAGAACGTTGATAAAACTAAATTTTTATTGTTTTTTTTTAATTTACAACAATGCAAAACTCATCTTTTTACATTCTATTTCAAATTAAAATAAGTAATTGAAGAATAAAAATTTCTACATTTTAAATATAGAGCATGATTTTTATTCATGAAAATAACATATAATGTTGTATATACCTCTATTAACTTCGAAGTAGTTTACCAGCACGTTGATTTGCACCTGATATACGAGTTTCATTCAATGTAGCCTGAAAAGAGACAGAGTCAAGAATAGAAATATCTTAGAAATAAAAATGTAATAAATATTACCTTTTCAATAATCTTGTTCACTTGAGCATTTTGATTTGACACTTCATTACCCATATCAACAGCCATATTTCTTAAATTACCAATCATTGTACCAACTTGCTGAAGATTGTCTTCCATTTCGTCCTCTCTTGCATCATTTGTTATGCTATAAAATAAATATGATAGTTGTATTGATAAATCTTGTGAAAATCATTTGTCACAAACCGTGTTATATAACCGCTTGCTGGTCCTGTACCATTTTGATTAACAATTTGTCTTGGTCCCGAACCTAGATAAAAATAGAAACAAGAATTATTGTAAAATTTAAATCAGATGATATTGTTATAATTACTTACTATTAACTTTACCATCATCATTCGATTTCCATGTTGCATTATAAGCAGCACTTTTTTCAATATTTTTCGATCTGATACGAAACAATAGAAGAAGAAAAAAAAAATGAAAAAATTCACATCATTGATGGAAAAAAACTAAGAAATCACATACCTTTTCCAGGGCAATACACACAGACCACAACATTTCTCTAGACCTTCTAAATTTTTTTCAGCATCACGCATATCCTCGTTGATTCTGTCCATACGTTCATCAATATTATCAAGTTGCTCTATACAAGAAAAAAATATTTTCGTTTGTTTTTAACATATTTTGTATGTTTTTTTATTAAAAAGAAATTATTAGCATTTCAATGTCGAAATATACAAACTAATTATTTGATTGAAAATTGAAAACAAACAAATTAGTGAAAGTCTGCTGTAAGTTTTTTTATTCCAGCAACAGTGTTATCGATCAGGAGAGGAGGACTAGTTGTGCTTGATTTTCAGATGTTCTAGAAAAAATTTTGAAAGTCATTTTCTGTGGTGATGACATAACAGTAACGTTTACCAATTTACACATAATTTATCTTACGTTTTTCACTATATTTTAGTCCTCTCTGATCTAATAACAATCGAAACTTCTAATAAATAGTAGTTATTATAGAAAAAAAAATCACTTTTTTGTTTATAGGGTGCACACGAACACAAGATGGATGGATCCATGACCGTCTGATGAGCATATTTTCTTAAGCAATTTCAGTTTATTTCTACTTTCTAAGCTCATTCATACAAGCAGCGACAAAGTCACCTTCGTGAATTTCTTCAACTGTCTATCTATACTATAACGAAAAATGATTAGAACATATATCTATAATGTGTAAACATGGTACCTCCTTGTTCATCAAGCATCACCAATGTACGAATTCCAGCTTCTTTGCTCTAAAATGAAATAGAAATATTTAGTAGATAAATGAAAGAATTTTTATCAAATACACACTTACCTCATCACACAAAGCGATCATACGCCGAGTGCTTTCCAGCGACTAAAACAAAACAAAAAAAACCCATAACATATGAAAAAACCAAAAATTTGAAAGATTGAACTTTATTAATAAGATTTCTTTACCTTCTGAATGTCATTGTTTTTCTCTTATTGTGTTTCCACATCAAAATTTTTATACTTAATCGATAGAAATTTTCGGTATTATCTCTGTACGGTCAGTATAAGTTCAAATATGACCTCTAAATTTGATGACCATTGAGAATTTATTTTCTCTTTGGCCTAAAGGTTTTATTTTCAAACACGTCATTCCCTTTTCATTCATTTTCGTTTATAGATAAATTATCAAAAATATGCAATAAGCAAAAAAACAAGAAAATAGAAACGTTTTTCAATCTAAAATTGTCGTTTGCTAAGTATATCTACTTATTTCTATTGTTATTAGATACAGAAGGGAGGGAAGAAGAAAGAAGAAAGTAATTTTGTTTTGGAGGCATAAATCTATTAATAAAGAAAAAAATATCAATCAATTTGAAGAGTTGTTATGCGAAATCTTATTTTTCTTTATATTGTTCATTATATACAAGAGATCATATGTGAACAAACAAAAAAAGATACCAAATATTTCATTTGGTACCATTAATTCAACAACTGCCACTTTATGATTGAATATCATTGAAAATATTAATACTAAGTTTCTCAACTGATAAAGTTTTAAATATTTATTTTATTTCTTAATGATAAAGTTCTGTAGAATTGTTAATTGACTGTGTAAGTTTAAACCAAAAAATTCGAATATTATCTCTACGTGCTTAAAACAGAATCGTGAATAAATATAAGAGAGAGTCCTCTCTTTCAAACGATCGATGTTTATTAAAAAACAACAACACATGAGTCATATCACTGATTTCTCTCATGATACACCGATAGTACTATGAGAAAAGAGTACAAATAGAAACTTATTTATCTCTTTTACAGTGGTACAACTCGAAAATCAGAAGTTTTGTTGACACAGACTCATCAATGTCACGTACAAAATTAATCTCTTTAAATTTCAACGCGTCTATGTCACTTCCTCCATAATCGAATGTCAATTTATAAACATTTTCTAATAATGGCATTATAATTTTTCTCTATTCTATATAAAAAAATATCATTTTTATCCAAAAACAGAGGCTACGTGTCTATGATTTTAGAATAATCTTTAATTTATAATGAAGGCAGTAGTCTAAAATCGTCTGAACAGCAAAAATCTAAACTTATGTCTCCAATGTACCTATCAAAATCTAACGAATTCTAGATGATTTAAATGTATTATTGCTATTCATAAAACATTTTACACAAAAAGAAAGTTTTAAAATAAATCTAATTTGTCCTTTGAGAGCGCGAAGGAGTTAATAACACCGAAGAAAGAATTCTATCTGAGCAAAAAATAGCATAAACCAGATAGTGCAAGCTAAATGACATTTCAAATAAAACATGAAAAATAATAGAAGAGTTATTGAGAAAGACTAATTAATCATTATCAAATGATATTCTATGTAAAAAACTTAATTAAACGTTTACCTCATGAACACCTTGATCAATCGAAAGTAATATTTGTTCTTCTTCGGTAAGAATTCTTGGCGGTTCATTTCCTGTAGTAGTTTTGACCGTTGTCTGAGATTTGCTAATACCAAATGTACCAGGAGATGGCGGTGCCATATTTTAGTTTTTTTTTTTAGAATGAATGATGTTTAATTATAATAATAATTATTTCAAGGGAATAATTAAAATTTTTTGTTAATATATTAATTTACATGATGTTTCTTTTCTTTTTTTTTTTAAAAAACACTATTTTACGATTAAGTTTGCTGAAGTTGTTTATAATATACAGAGTAGTATCGTTCAAATAAAAAAAAAAAAGAATTTTACAATTGAAATGTAATAAAACTGAAAAAAAAAGTTTAGAGTGTTTTTCTTATCGGAAACATAACTTTGTCCACATTTTTTTTTTTGCTATAGTTTCTCTAATGTGTTCAACCAAAAAAAGGAAAAAGAGAAAAAAATAATAAAAATTGCTTTCCGAATTTCGATATATAGAAAATAAGAATAAAGAAAAAACACTACGGAAAAGAAAAGCAGATGACAATTATTTTCTCCTTATTTTTTTTCTCGTTGTTTTCGTTTTTATTATATTAATCATTAACAACAAATTTTTGATCTGAGTTTCTTCTATTTTCAACGTTATTATTGTTTCTCATAGACATTGAAATCAGAGTTAGGTCTGGTTGTTGTTGTTGTTTTTTCTCAGATTTATGGGTATAACAAAAAAAAAAAAATGAATCTAAATATTCGATAAAACTATTTTCAGTTCATTATTAGAAAATTATTTAGGAACAGAGACGCAATTCAGACACAGAATGTCAATTGTAAAAAATATTTTAAAAAACTGAAAAAAAGAAAAAGAAAATCTTATCAATGAAGTTTTTCATTGGAACTAAAATGTAAAATGTTTTCAAGCAAACATATAAATGCATACAATTCATGGAAATTGTAAAAAATTTGTTATTAACGTTTGTATCCGAAAGATATGTTTCTATTGTTTTTGTTACTTGGAACATACTGACATTATCATGATGAATAAGTATTATTATATTTTAAAATAAAGATTAGGAACTACATTGATCATAGACGCTAATATAAATTATACGAAAATGTGAAGATGAAGAAGAATAGAAATACCAAACTATGTAAACATAACAAAAATATATATAAAATCATTGAGAATGAAAAGATTGAATAAGTACACTGGAAATTCGTCATCAAATCACTAATAAAAGAGCAAATACAGGAAATTGGTAAATAGAAACGATAACTAAATATCCAATCGTTGAGATCAATATATTGTGAAAAAAAAACAGAAATAATAAATATAAAATTTAATGAAAACTATCGTACTTTAAAAAAATTTGATATTCTGAAACACTAACTAATGTGGAGATGATGTGGCATTCAAAAGATGACATCATTCTAATATTATCCTATTTATCAAGGACGAATAACGAGTAGAAAAACAATCAAAAATGTTGATG